ATGTTTTGCTCATCAAAAAAAAAAAAAAAAAAAAATGAGTCCTTGGCCTTTTACTTGTGGTTCAAAGTCCTATTTTATATTAAACCCTTTATCTATTTATTAGTCCTTTGTTGTAATTTGTCCTTCAAATATTTCCCCAACCTTTTCATTTGTATTTGTATAGACTTTAGTATTTTTGGTATTTGAGAAATTATAAGTATTTACATAGTCAACATTATCAATATTTTTATGTATGGCTTTTGAGTTTCATCTTGATTAGAAAGGCTTTCTCCTCTCCCAAGATTATGTTTATTTCTGATATTTAAAACTTAAAAAACATTAAATATATATTTTTTCACCTGTTATTTATTTTAGTATAAAGACATGAAGGAAGATTTTGTTTGACTTTTTTCCCCTATGACTGGCCAGGTTTTCCAACAATATTTATTGAATCATCCATCTTTCCTGCACTAATGTGAAATTTGCCTTATGCGTTATTTTATATTTTCCAGTCTCTTTTGGGACTTTTTGCTTTGGCTCATTGATCCATTTGTCTATTTATGCACCAGAATAAAATATTTTCAATAATGCAGTTTTGAAATCTCTTTTAATTTCTGGTAAGAGTAAGCACACAATGCCTTTCTGAAGTTTTTTTTTTTTCTGATTGCTTCTTTAGGTACCCAGAATAGTGCATGAAATATAGGCTTCTTAACCATATTGTTTAACAAGCCCCGTTCCCTGCTGAAAAGTCAAACTTCATAACAAGGAGATAGTAAAATAAAAACTAGTCCTCTTCACTCCCTCAGTTCCCCTGAAGTTAGAACCCTGCCTGAAACCTGACCCATTGAAGTTGGGCTATGGCTTGGATTGTAGATAGCAGATGTGATGGGAAGGGTCAAAACTTGAATTTACCAATGAATGTAGCAGTCTGAAGATATAAGCTTTCCACTTAAAAAGGAAGCAAAATAGAAAAAAATGCAAATCGGAAAAAAAAAATCCAGCCTTTGGCATCATTGGCCTGCAGCTGCTGCATATGATTCCATCAAACATTTAGGGAAACGCGAAGCTTGTGAAGCCTGGGGCTGAGGTCATGGGGCTGATGTGCTGCCAGAGCTGGTGTAGACCGGCTCCTTCCCAGGCCTCCTGACGTCCCTGGACACTGATGCAGTGGGAGCTTGGTATGAAGTTAATGTTTTGAGTGGGTGAGGTGTAGGAAGCAAAAACAGTAATTTAGGCATTTTTTCTTCTCGGCTTCTTTCTCTTGGAATATTCCTGGCTTCCACAGGAACAGGCCCCCATTGTATAACCCTGCCCTGGGCAGTCTGGCCAGGGTGCCATCTGTGGCCTCAGGAGAGACCATCTTTGAGAGTGTGTGAGGAACCTGGGGGGCAGAACTCAACTCCTCAGAGAAGCAGCTACAAGACAGTCCCATGTGCACCCACCCTGACCTGGGTGAGCCATAGGAGTCGTCTGTTGGATGCCTCTGCTGTCCTCTGCTGAGCATCTATTGCTACAGAATCACTCAAACCTCAGGGTAGAAAGATGCCCACAGCTTGGTACTTATAAGCAAGGATGAGCATTCCCATCCTCACACACATACTAGTGAAATCATTTAGAGCTGGGCGTCTTCTCCCTTTCTCAGAGACCACGCTGGTGTGTGCTTGCAATGGAGAGGGGCAGATGAGGGGAACGGGAGGGTTCTGGTTGGAGTGACTGGGCTATGTGTACTGTCTGGGTGGGAAGGAAGTCACCTGCTTTTCAGCTCAGTGTACCCTCAGCATCCTCCCCACAGTTCAGTGTCAGTCACAGCTTACAGGTGGTTTTGCAGGACCTGCCGCAGGGGTGGGGCAGGTGGGGCAGATACCCCTGTAGGAGGCCTGGCCTGTGGGATGGCCTAATGGACCTGCACCTGCCTCCTGTGCTGCTGCCCCAGGACTCCAGCTCTGGCCATTTCAGGTCACTCTTGCCTTGTCCTCTTACTCAGTCTGTGTCTCTCTTTTTAGCTAAATGCTCTGCTCTGTCACAAAAGATCCCCCTTGTCACTTCTGTCTTCCCAGAGCACTCCACTTTGTCATCCTCAGGGAGAACTGGGAAACTGGGGGGCAGGGTCAAAAGATGAATGTGTGATGTTGCCCCCTGGGAGGCCAGAAGACTATGCACAATGTTCCAAGGTCTAGCCACACACATGCTCATCAAGGAGGGGTCCTGTTGGTTGTGAGATGTGCATCTGCTTCCCATGGCTGACGAGAAGATTCAACGCATGCAGTAATAATGGCAATGCTGGTCGTGTTTGTTTATTGAATGCTCACCATGTGCCAGGCACTGTTGTCAACCACTTAGTGTGTATGACTTTACTCAATCATTGCAACACCTGTAAGCACCTATTTTTATTTTCCCTATTTTTATAGATAAATCATAGTGAAGTGCTAGGATTCAATGAGCCTGAAAGGGTGCCTATCTCATAGTAAAATCTCAGTAAAGGTGGTGGCTGTGGCAGGCACTTGTCTTGGCTCATAGAGTCAACTAGGTAAGTCTCTTTCCAACTCTGTGTACAGCGGCATTGCACTGGTAGCTTAAAATTGGCCATGGTGGGAGTATTTACACCACAGGAACTGGCTACAAGTTTCTTTTCTTTTTTTCCAAAGAGACCACTTTACCACCAGGGCTACTCATATTATACTCCTACTGGCAATAGGAATAATCTTGGAATTGGTTCCTGCTAAAATCAATGCACTAAAAGAGGAGACCCTTCCCAAATTTCTTCAATGGTGATTCTTTAATGGGTTTTTTTTTTGCACTCTTATGTTACCATATTACTAATGAAATCCAATCAGAGGCTGGGTGCAGTGGCTTATGCCTGTAATCCCAGCACTTTAACTTTAGGAGGCCAAGGCAGGTGGATCAGGTCAGGAGTTCAAGACCGGCCTGGCCTACATGGTAAAACTCTGTCTCTACTAAAAATACAAAAATTAGCTGGGCATGGTGACGTGCACCTACATGTAATCCCAGCTACTCGGGAGGTTGAGGCACAAGAATCACTTGAATCCAGGAGGCGGAGGTTACTGTGAGCCAAAGTCACGTCACTGCACTCCAGCCTGGGCAAAAAAGAGAGACTCTGTCTCAAAAAAAAAAAAAAAAAAAATCCAATCGGGAAGAGTTTTACTTCAACGGACTTCAACTGTGAAAGTCTTAGAGGAGGCCTATAATTAGGGGAAAATGACCCTGAGAACCCCCAGGTACAGCTTGGAAAGCCACATATAATTTGCCATCACTAGGTAAGTTGGGTGTCATTGTCGCCACCATAGCATTTTTTCTGAAAGCTAAGATGCTGTCCAATAATATGACTATTTCAGGTGGACTGTGGAGAGAGAAGTTCATTCCAACTCCAGGAGAGGCTGGGGAGGGAGAGACAGCTGGACAGAGGGGATTTAGGGTGGGATAACGTGGAGCTCCTCGGATCCTGGTTCCAGTCCCATGTTGACCTGCCTGCGGGGACTCAAGAAAGTCACTTGGGATCTCTACTCTTTCCACAAATTAAGGGATTTGATCTAGAAAGAGCTGTAGAAGGCATCTCGTCCAGCATTGGCATATACAAGGGATTTGTTCACAGAATGCCCTGAAGACTATAAAGCACTGAGCAGGAGGAATCACCGTGATCTTCATGATAAGATTTTTTTCTTATTTTTGTACCAAGCCAAGATGTCTGTTGTGAGGAACGCAAGGTGGCTTGTTGTTTGTGTGGGCTGGATCACAAGCAGAGATGGAAGAAATGGATCTCGAGCGTGTCTTGCTTGCCCAGCAATCGAATGCCTCCCGAGGGCCTGCACTTGCTGCGCCTGACTTCTGGGCTGCCTCCGTATTCTACACATACTCCTCCTGCGTCTTTGTGATTATTCGTTACTGTTTCTCTGTTCCCTGTATATGATAAGGTTTGGGGAGCAGGGCCAAAATTGCATTTTCATTTCTTCATTCAATAAACATTCATTGAAACCTACATGTGCTTCAAAGCATATCAGAGGTGGATGAAACAAATTCTTCTTTATTAGGTGCTTTCTGGGAGGAGGAGGGCAGAGAGGAAACCAATGGGAAAGAGCACAAAGCAGCATATAATAGAGAACTTGGTAACAAGGTATGGACTGAAAGGGTGTTAGAAGTTGAGAAAAAGAGGGATCGGGAGGGGACAAGGAAGTTGAAAGACAAAGTCAGGGAATGTTGGGGTTGAAGGTAGAAGTGACACGGATGATATGACTTTGCTGGGAAAAGCTCACTGGAGACACAGCCCCTATGCTCATGGGCACTGTGACTTCTGATGCACCTGGAATAAAAGGGGACCTGCAGGCCATGAGAGAAATAGAAGGGTGTGATGAGATTAGAACTCTCCAAAACAAGGTAAGCGGCACATGGAAATAAAGGACAAGGCACTTAGAGGCTGAGCTGAGCTGAGGGATGAGGTGCCCAGGGCCCCTGTCTAAGCTTAGGTTACCATAGGCCCCAAGGCCAGATAAGGGAACATACTATTGAGGGCACTGTGTGCTTTGCCCTGACCCTTTGGAATGGGCTGGCTGCCTTGGGAGGCACATGCCGTGCCCTGAGGAGCAGCGTGTGTTCAGAGTGACCACCAGCAGCTGACCGCTCGGCTACACCACTTTAGATGCAACCTGAGGCCCTGGAATCCCCGTGCCTGGAGCCCTGGGCATGCTGACTGAGCCAGGCACACAGAGAGCATTATTCCTCAGCCTTCACACTCCCTAAAGCTGGCAGCAGGCTCTAAAAACCAGATGCCTCTCAATGGGCACCCAGGTAGTCCAAGCACTTCCCCATATGGTAGTGAGTATCCTGTACTAAAAGCAACTCAAAAAAGCCATTTGGTGGGTGTGTCCTAGAGGGGCCTCCAGCATCAGATCCGTGAAGGGCTTCACGGCTATGAAGGCTGCTTCTAATGCTGAAATTCAATCCTTCTGCGAAAGTGCATTTGTGATGGCTGGAGGTATTTGTAGACCAAGGATCCATAGAGTCCTGTGAGGAGTGGAGGTGAATTTGCTCCAGAGGCTGCCCCTGGCTTCTGCAATGGACTCTACCTCAGCTTGGTGCCCCTTGACGCCAGAGTGCACTTTTAGGACAGCACTTTCCACGTGACATTCAGGCACCTGTTTGTGAGACTCTCTCCTGCAACTACACCAAAGCCCCTCAAGGGCAAAGGATTTTTGTTTTTCTCATTTTTGTACTCCCAGCTTTTACCACCGTGCTTTGAATACAGAAGTGCTCCAGTAATGATCGGGGAACAGAATCAAACCAGGCCAGGGGCCAGGCAGCCACCAAAGACTCTCCTTCCGGCCACTCTTCTTACTGCCCCGTATGTCAAAATAGAAGAACTTAAATCCCCCAACATGGGAAAGCCAGGAAAATGGCCCCACAATCAGCTTCCTTGGGAAGCACAGCCCTGAAGCAGGAACATGAAGCAAATTCACCTCCACTCCTCACAGGACTCTATGGATCCTTGGTCTATAAATACCTTTCGGGGAGATGTGCAGCCCCACGAGCTCAGCTCTTCCTTCTTCAGGAGGTGGTTTCCCATGGAGACAGCCAGATCTGTGGAACATTTCCACCTTCATGGCCTCTTTCAGGAAGGAGCTGGTTCTCTTACTCGGCTTCATTTTCAAATGCTAATTTGGTACACACCCTGCCAGAGTATCCAAGCCAGAGGTGGATTTGCTTCAGAACAGTTCTTGTTTTCAATGGCTGGAAACACCCTCTCTGGAGATGACACCCTCTTAGGTTAAAGTGTGTTCCTCATTGTGTTGAAGATGATCTTTCTCAGTAGGAATGAACTATAGACACACAGGTCCACCTTCACGCAGCAGTTGCGACCTTGAAATTATAGGTAAGTTGAGTATCTGTACTGTATAGTTGAGTATCTGTATAAATGAGTTTTCCAAGCATAGAATCTTATAAAAATATAAAATTATGTGCATGGAAAACTCATTAGCTAAACCGGTGGCATTGATGTATATATGCCTGTATGCAGGCATGCATTTACTTTTTGTAATCATGGAGATCTTTTACCAAATAAAATCAGATGTGGGAACCTATTGTACCGAACAGGTGATAGGCGAGGCCTCTGCTCCAAGCCAGGGTGAGCTGGAAAGGAAAGAGCCGGGTGGTTCTGGCGTCTGCTCCACCCCTTTCTCCTTTTTCCTTGTAGGAGGCCACAGGAGCCTTTGTGGGAAATCTGAGGCCCCTGAGGCCTCTGAATGCCAACCACTAGCTTTAAGAAGCCCTACAATTACGAATCCTTTAAGACATGATTTAAAATGTTTTTCAAATGTAAATTGCTGTTCTCATGAACCACATTCCCCTCAGTATTTTACTGCAGTGATTTGGGTTTTAATGCAAACCCTTTGCTGTACCTAGATGACTAGAAGGCATGGGAGCTCCTTTATCCAGATCAAAGCTGCTTGTCCTTCCCGTGATAATGCAGTCCCTCCTCTCAACTTTTCCTCAGGCCGAATCTCTCTGTGCCCAGCTGTCCACCTCCACCCTGGCCTTTAGGTAAGTGACTCTGCATGGCCTGAATGTACCTTTCATTCCTCAGTCTCTCCAGCTACAGTCCCTTTCCCTGGCATCTGCAGCAGAGAACCCAGGCTTTAAGGAGAGCAGACATGTCCTCATGAGGGACAGAGGAGTCCCCTAAGAAATGAGACCACAGTCCAGTTCTGTCCAAGGGCAGGATGGGGCAGGAGAAGGAAGCTGTCTGCAGTCCCGTACACAGCACCCTACCCACTTGAGGCCCTCAAGGGAAGCATCTTTAAAGCAACATCAGCCTCAAAGAAAGGGTTTGAATCCACCCGTGAGACTCTCCTCCCTCCTCAGTCCCTACCGAATTTATAAGAGAAAGAGAAGCGTAGAATAAAACTCTGCGTTGGCTGAAAACAGGGGTAGGTGACATCACCAAGCCTGAGTTCTGGGGAATTTCTGCAAATTCTTCAGATGAGGGCAGGACGGCCTGGACAGCTGCAAAGTGAGCACGTGTGAAGGAAAAGGGAGGAGCTCCCTGAGTGACCGCCAAGGTAGGTGGAGATTGCAGGCATCGAGAGCGGGCGCTGGCCGTGGGCTGTCGGTGGGCATGGTGGTTGAATTGTGTCTCCTCCACCCCAGATTGGCACGTGGAAGTCTGAACCCCCAGTACCTCTGTAGGCGACCTCATTTGGAGATAGTGTCTCTATAAATGTGATCAAGTTAAAGTGAGGTCATTGGGGTGAGCCTTAATCCACTGTGACTGCTTTCAAACAAAGGGGAAATTTGGACAGAGACAGACATACAGGGAGAAGGCCATGGGGAGATGAAGACGGATCCACACGCCCGGACAGGGGCCCAGAGCAGCTCCTTCCCAGTCCTTAGAAAGGACATGCTCTGCCAGCATCTTGATCTTGACTTTCAGCCTCCAGAACTGTGACACAGCCCATCCCTGCTGCTAAAGCCAGCCAGCTTGTGTCTCTCTTACAGCAGCCTTAGGAAACTAATCCAGTTGGGTATACCCTGGACTGGCACCCTGGATGCCAGCAAAGTGGAAATACTGCTGCTGGGGTCCACGATGAGCTGGTGGAACCCCTGGGTCAGGGCGGCAGAAAACCTTCAGTGAAGGGCCACATTGCTCTTGAGGGCTCAGACTCTGGTTTTTGTCTCTGGGGATAGATTGGCTGAGATGAGACTTTCATCTGAAGCAAGAAGGCCCCAGTTTAGAAGGATCACACTGGATTAGGGCCCACCAGTCACACTGGATTAGGAGCCATCCCAATGGCCCACCTGACTGCCCTCCACTGCTCAGCAAAGACAGGGTGGGGCTGTCTCCTGATCTTCCCAGACGAGATGGAGTCCCAGGGAGTTCTCAGCTGACTGGATTTCCAAACTTGCAAAACAAAATTTCAGATCCAACTAAATTTGGGCCTTCTTGCTTCAGCTGTGTCATCTCAGCTAATCTGTCCCCAGAGATACAAACTGGAGCCCAACCCTCAGGAGCAATGTCACTCTTCACTAAAGGTTTTCTGGGGGAGGAGGCAAAGCTCATGCTCTGCTTCAGTTTCTTATGATGAATGAGGTATCCGCTTCTTCCACTTCCCTTCTCTCCTCCTGCTCCAAAGGCCCTAAGACAGAGCAGCTGCTCAATGCCTTCTCTCTCTCTCTCCTCTCTCCTTTCCCCGCTAAAATCCCAGCTGCACTGCTTCCCCCCTACTTTCCCTTCCCTTCTCTGTTCCAGCTCTCTCAACTTCCTTCCCCATTTTGTGTATTTCCCCCGTTTTTGTTCCTTATGCTCTTCTGCATGCAGATCAGTTTAGCTTCTCTTTGCTTTTTCTAGTCTCTTCTGCAGCCTTTGTTTCAGTAAGAACAACAAAAGCAGGGCCAGGAATCAGCTGGACCAGACTAGAGAAGATTCCTTCCTCATTTGAAGGAGGAGGTTGCAAAGACATCATTTAAAAATATATAAAATTATATTTACGTACGCATGTTTTTAAATCCCAGTTACACAGGAATAATATAAATTTGACCTTCCCTCTTTGTTTAGGCCTGAAATGTTCCTGCAGAGAAACCCTCAGTCTCAGAAAGAACTTCGGGTTTCCCAAACTGGAAACATATAACCCTCTTTATTTTTATTTATTTATTTTATTTTAGACAATGTTTTGATCTGTCACCCAGGCTGGAGTGCAGTGGCATGATCACTGCTCACAACAACCTCAACCTCCCAGGCTCCTGATTCTCCCACTCCAGCCTCCCAAGTAGCTGTGACTACAGGCATGCACCAGCATGTGCAACTGATTTTTTTTTTTTTTTTTTTTTTTTTTATAGAGACAGGGTCTTGATGTGTTGTTCAGGCTGGGCTCGAACTCAAGTGATTCTCCTGCTTTAGTCTCCCAAAAGTGCTAGGATTACAGGCAGGAGCAACTCCACCAGGCCATAAACCTCTTTAAAAATGGCTACCAAATGTAACTACCATCTTCTCTCAATGCCACTGTTTCCTTTAATACATTTTCTTTTTTTGATTTAACGTGTCGTATGTGTTTCCTTTAGAAAAAATGCACAGAGAAGCTAAACGAAAAGAAAATAAAATTAATTCCACTACTCAGAGATCATCACTGCCAACATCTTGGTATATATCCTTTTAGATTTTGTTTTATTGAAATATACACATGAATATATATTTACCTGCCTATCTAAGAATATGTATGTATAAAAGTGGGATTATGTGCATACTACATACGTATTTACAAACATGGAATTACATACATACTCCTTCATAAGCCCTGCCATCTTTTCACATTGACACATTTATTAGAGTATCATTTTCAGTGGCTGCTCAAGTCATGGTGGAGGATCAGAGGCAAATCCTTTTCTTGAGGAGGACGAGGAGTGAGGAGTGAGGATAAAAGAAGGAATTAGAATCCGTGGCATCAAGCCTGGATGCACAGGTGCTCATGAAATAATTGTTGATGGCTTGAACAAAACATTAAAGGAAGATTTCTCAAAGGGGACAGCTAATTCATTAGGGATGAATCAATCATACATTTTTTTTTTTTTTTTTTGAGACAGAGTCTCATTCTGTCTCCCGGACTGGAGTGCAGTGGCACACTCTCAGCTCACTGCAACATCTGCCTCCTGGATTCAAGCGATTCTTCTGCCTCAGCCTCCTGTGTATCTCAGATTACAGGCGCCCACCACAACGCCCAGCTAATTTTTTGTGTTTTTTCAGTAGTTACAGGGTTTCACCATGTTGACCAGGCTGGTCTCAAACTACTGACCTTATAATCTGCCTGGCCTCCCAAAATGCTGGGATTACAGGCATGAGCCACCACGCCAGGCCCGAATTAGAACATTTTTATAGAGAGATTTTAGATTACAGGAGAGTTGGCCTGAACTGCCCTCGAAGCATAATTTTCCTGAGCAACTCTGCTCACTCAGGCTTCTAGACTTATTTTAAATTTGAGTTTAAAAGTCCTACATCTAACAGGCAGCTGCCAGAACTCACTGATGAGGGTGTCCATGAATCTGGAAAACCTCTTCACGGAGATGGCATTTGGGTGAAACTGTCAGGCTTGTTTTATGGATGCAGGATATTCACTAAATCTGGACATACTTGAGGAGCCACCCACACTTTAGGGAACTTTTTAAACCAAACTTTCTGGGATTTATGCATCACCACACAAAAATTTCCCATGACTTACATGACCAAGAGGGAAAACAATGCTGGTTTTCATAAACACTCAAATCTCTTGGCTCAGGACGCAGTGGCTGAGGAGACACCATGCAGTGAGCAGAATCATATGGGCATCCACACATTCTCAGCTGCAGTCAGGTGCAGAGCCGCCTGTGCTCCCTTCTGGCACACGTCTGTGGGATGCCCGTGGCGTTGCTTCAGAGCAGCGTACAGGTAGAGGTACTGGGTGTCTTAGTAAATGCCCTGGGGCTGGAAATTATTGCTGAGATATCTGGCATTTTTAATACACATTCCAGGCAGTCTGGGGGCTTCTGGCCAACCTATATGAAATTAAAAGAAACAAAATCATTCTCTTTTGAAATGCCCACATGACCAAGAATGGACTCTTGTTATCTTGTACTCAGTCATGATTGGATGAGGGAAAAATCCGAGCCTGGCAGCTCCCTCCCCCAGTTACTGTCTCAGAGATTCTCATTGGAAGCACAATGAAGTTATCTCCTTTGGATGGCCAACTGCTTGGAGTGCAGATACGTTTCCTGCCCTGCCCTGCTCAGGGAGTTCTTTCATGCCCTTCCCATGAATTAGGAAGACTGAGGCTGTTTCAATGGTACAACTGGAGTGGTCTATAAAGTCAACCCCTTTAGGTTGAAAAAAAAAAAAACCAAAAAACCTTTGTAGCTCTGGTGATACTGTATAGAAGAATATGTCCCCAAATGCCCACCCTAAGTAGATTCACATTTGCTAACACTGGGATCTGTCCTTGCCTTCTCCATCCCCTTCCAGTCCTAGACATCCATGTCTCCTTCTAGTGCCTTCACCTCCCTTTACCATATTTACCAACAATTTTGATCAAGGCGAACTTTGTAATCACAAGTTTAGTTTCACCTTTGGGTGGCATAAGAGCTCCATCTGGGTACTTGATGTGTTAGGGTGAGTAGGGCACGGGGCACCAACCTGCCCCCCACCTTCCCTGGCACCCAGCACCTCACCAAGGACCACTCTCTGCTCTTGCTTTCCTTATGGGTTATTAATCCAGGTGCTGGAAGTTGGGTTCCTTCTAACTGGCCCCATAGCTTTCTGGTTCACTTCCTTGAACAGGGTGAACTGTAAAAGTGAGTCACTGATCTTTAGGTCAAAAGACTCTGACTTTTTTTAATTTTTAAATTTAAAAAATTATGGTAAAATACACATGACAGAAAATTTGTCATTTTCATCATTTTAAAAATTTTATTTTTATTTATTTATTTTATTTTTTTTTGAGACGGAGTTTCGCTCTTGTTACCCAGGCTGGAGTGCAATGGCGCAATCTCGGCTCACCGCAACCTCCACCTCCTGGGTTCAGGCAATTCTCCTGCCTCAGCCTCCTGAGTAGCTGGGATTACAGGCACGCACCACCATGACCAGTTAATTTTTTGTATTTTTAGTAGAGACGGGGTTTCACCATATTGACCAGGATGGTCTCAATCTCTTGACCTCGTGATTCACCCGCCTTGGCCTCCCAAAGTGCTGGGATTACAGGCGTGAGTCACCACACCTGGCCCTATTTTTATTTTTATTTTTAGAGAGGAAGTCTCTCTATGTTGCCCTGGGTGGATGCAGTGGTATTCACAGGCACGTCCCCATTACTGATTAGCGTGGGAGTTTGGACCAGCTCTGTTTCTGATCTGGGCTGGTTCACCCCTCCTTAGGCAACCTGGTAGTTCCCTGCTCTCAAGAGCACACCATATTGATGTGGAATTTAGTGTGGCCACCCGATTGGCATAGTGCAGAACTACAGCCTAGAATTCCTGGGCTCAAGCCATCCTCCCACCTCAGCCTCCTGAAGAGCTGGGCCATCTCAATTATTTTTAAGTACATTCATATTGTTGTGCAACCATCACCACCATTCAGCCACAGATCTCTTTTTATCCTTTGAAACGGAAACACCACAGCTCCTAAACAATCTCCATTTCCCTCTCCCCCAGGCCCTGGCAACCACCATCCCACTTTCTGTCTCTATGAATTTGACTACTTGTTATATATCACATGAGCGGAATCATACATTTGTCTTTTTGTATCTGGCTTATTTCACTTAACATAGTGTCCTCAAGGTTCATTCATGTTGTAGCGTGTGCATGTATCAGAATTTCCTTCCTTTTTTTTTTTTTGAGATGGAGTCTCACTCTGTCTCCCAGTTCCCAGGCTGGAGTGCAATGATGGGTCTCGGCTTACCACAACCTCCACCTCCCAGGTTCAAGTGATTTTCCTGCCTCAGCCTCCCAAGTAGCTTGGATTACAGGTTTGCACCATCATGCCCAGCTAATTTTTGTATTTTTAGTAGAGATGGGGTTTCACCATGTTGGCCAGGCTGGTCTAGAACTCCTGATCTCAGGTGATCCGCCTGCCTCGGCCTCCCAAAGTGCTGGGATTATAGGCGTGAGCTGCCGCACTTGGCAGAATTTCCTTCCTTTTTACGGCTGAATAAGATACCATCATGTGGATACACCACATTTTGTTTATCCACTCATTGCTAAGGTTATTCCACCTTTTGACTATCCTGAATAATGATGCTATGAACATGGGTGTACAAATATGGACCTGAACTATGAGATCATTGTAGATTCACATGCAGTTATAGGAAATAATATAGGTGTGTGTGTGTGTACATGTATTTAGTTCTATGCACTTTTATACTTGTGAGGGGTTATATGCCTGCCACCAAAATTAAGCTACAGAGCAAGGATCCTTTGTGTTGACAAGGCCCCCGAGTTCAGCCCTAAATTTTAGGTTCCATTTCTAAAGGGTAAAAGCAATAAATAGCTCAGTGCTCCTTTGGCGATGTCCTGTTCTGGGTTTTCAGGGGGATACCACAGTGGTAGCCGTGGGGAGATCCAGGTCTAGGCTGATGGCTCCTCAGCCCATGGTTTAAGCTGGGGCAGTGAATTCAGCTGCACATTCAGGGCAGTAAATGGAGCAGGGGATGGGGGTGTGGCCTCTCGTGTCCAACAGCACCCTCAGCCAGTGATCCCACTTCACATCCCATGTTCTGGATAGTGACCACCAGGCTCATGCCATCTGTCCCCACACTGCTAGTCAAATCTCAGCCAATCTCAGAATTGCATCCCAAGTGGTGGCCTCTCAAATGAAATGCTTCCACTAGAACAGTGCTGTCTGATGAGACTAAAACATGAGCTGCATAGGTAATTTTAAAATAGTTTCCTTAAAATTAAAAATAGGTAAAATTATTTTTAACAATACATTGTATTTAATCTAATACATGAAAAATATCATTTGAACATATCATCAACAGAAAAATTTTTAGTGAGGTATTTTATATTTTTTTCCCTTTTCCCCTCTCCATAATATGTCTGATATCTGGTGCATATTTCACACTTATACCAACCATGTCTCCATTTGGTCGAGCCACACTTCAGGTCTCAGTAGCCCACATGGATTGGTCAGCATCGTTCCAGAATCAAGCTCTGCATAATCGAACCAAGACCACCTGTTGTCCCAGGAGCTTCCTAACTCCTCTGATCCGAGCATCTACCTTGACCAGCACTCAGATAAGCCACACCATGGACCAGCTGGTGATGGGGACAATGTCAGCTTTGCTTTTAGGGATTTGTTATTGTGGGAACCCACGTTTTATCGGCAGCCCTAGTTGATCCACCTGCTTTGTGATGCCAACATAGGAACTTGTCTGGAGGGTCAGAGAAGAAGCAATTGGCCCTCAAAGCACATTGACACCTTTGAGGAAAGTGGAGGCCAAGTCAGCAGGCAGCAGCTTGCAGGGAAATTAAGCAGAATTCTGAACTTTTGGAAAGAAGTAAATTTCTGGCACTTGGCATGGTTTCAGAATGAACTCTGGAGGTTGGTGTAGTTCCCTAGATCCAGGGGGCTTGGGGAATTCCATATGAGTCATCTGGGCTGACCTCGTAAGTGCCCCAGGGTGAGGGGCAATCCTCTGTCTCCCCAGGCACTTCTGTTCAAGCATTCTGCCCAGGAGTTGGCATGGCCACCCACACCCGGCCACCTCGAGAGATAGATGGAATACCAGCAGCCCACGGGTGTCTCTTGTCAGCAAAAAGCACCCTGGAAATGGGTGGCTGGATAAAAGCCCCTCTGTCTGTTGCTGGCTGGGACAGCGTCTACCACAGCCTACACTTGTACTATGGGAATGTTTCTCTCTAGCTTAATGCTCCTGAGAGAAGTGCACATTTTCTGCTAAATGTGTGGCTTCATGGGCTTGCAGTTGATGGCTTTCTTCGGAGAGGGCTTCATGCTTCTTGGAGTCTGACTCCTACCCTTCCACGCTCAGCCTAGCTAGGCCTGAGCAGGTGCATAAAGTGATCTGACCTAGTGAATGGGAAGGTGTACACAGACAGAATCTGTATATTTTGCATATACTGCATTCAAGAGAATACAGCCATGCATCATGACATTTCATCAATCACGGACCACTGACTCATTACCAGTGATCTGGTAAGACGATAACATGTGTATACAGTGGCCTAGGCTGTACCATCTAAGTTTGTGGAAGTACACTTTATGATGTTTGCACAACAATGAAATCATCTAACGACATATTTTTCAGAGTGTATCCCTGGTATGAGCGTATATTAAGGTCAATTTCATCTGTTTCTTCTTATCTTTTAATGTGGCTACTTAAAGGTTTACAACTACATGCATAGCTTGTGTTCTCTTTGTATTGGGCAACGCTTTTTCAGTGGACACCGAAGTTATGAAGCACTGGGCCGGGAGTCCCTGCATCCGAGTTCCAGCATCATCTGTGACACTAACAGACCTGGGCCGGGAGTCCCTGCATCCGAGTTCCAGCATCATCTGTGACACTAACAGACCTGGAAGTCTTTGAGTAAATCTCTTCTACGGGCCTCAGTTTCCTCATCTGTAGAACAGGAAAGTTGAACTACGTAATATCCAACCTACCAGCAACTTTCAACTTTTCTGCTACCCAGGTAATGGGTAAGTTAGAAAGAAATGACAGTTTGCACAGCCAGTCCCTATTCCTGCAGAAAGACAGGGCGCATACTCACACTGTCTGATAAAAGGTTAAACAGCATGGCACTGGTAAATGTAGGAGCAGGGAGGGCACTCTTTTATTTATTCATTAGCCACCGCCCACTGAATTCCCTAAAGACTACTCTCTCTTTGGAAACTGAACTCCTGAGTCCCCTTACATACCCATAACCAGGAGGTGCCATGAGCCGAGAGGCTGGGCCTAAGAGAGCCTCCCTCCCCACAGCCAGCTCACAAATGCAGGGCCCTGGGTCTCAGAAATCAATGTCAGGGCAAGGGAGGCAAGGCATTAACTGTCTCTTCCAGGAACACTTTCACAGAAAGTCTTTTAAGAGCTGGAGAGGAGCGAGGGCATCTGGGCTCTCGCATTGTTTATGCAAACGCTGAAATTAATATTTCAGATGGGCAAATAGAAGAACCCAAGTCACTCACTGGCCTCTCATTTCCATCACAGAAGCCTGGAACTCTGTTTCTCCTTCCTCAATCCCAATCTTGTTTCTGGAGGCTTTGTCGGGATTCCCTTCCCATCCTGCCACTTCCTTGCTTTGAGAACCTCAGATGGTCTCTCTTTCCCTGGGAAGAGAATCTAGTCTGGTGTTCCAGTTTCCCCGCTGCCATCTCACCCTGATTTTCCTGCCCAGGCCTCCCTCCCCAGCCCCACCTCCCCTAGGTGACTTGCCTTTCCTGGACCTTGCCCAGCCCAACCACAAGCCCTGGCTCATGGGGGCCCCTCTGCTGGACAGGACCTTTCCTCCACCAGCAGCCCTGCAGTGTCCTCTGCCTTCGGGTTCCCAGTTTAGGTGACACAGGTTTCCTCCACAAATAGCTGCCCTTACTGTGCCTCACTCTCTGATCCTGGCCATCCCTGCTTTACTTTATTAATCCTTCCAACCACCATGCCAGGTGGGGACTCTCACAAGGGACATGGCAGATCGGGGAGGTTGGAACCCAGCCAGTCGACTCTGGAGCCCACACAAGTAACCCCTGTGCTGACTCGCTTCTCCTGGGGATTTCTCTCTTTCCTTGGGGTTCCTGCGGCACATTTTCTGTCTCTCTTAGCGTGCTTGTGTTAGTTTGCCAGAGCTGCCATCCAAAATACTGTAGACAGGGTGGCTTAAACAATAGGAATTTATTTTCTCACAGTGCTGAACGCTAGAAGTCCAAGAGTGAGGTGTCAGCAGGTTTTTGAACCATTTTCTGGTTTTCAAACCATTGGCTTGCAGATGACATCTTCTCTCCATGTCCCCACATGCTGTGCCCTGTGTGTGTGTCTGTGTCCTAGTCTCCTCTTCCTATAGGGACACCTGTCATATTGAATCAGGACCCATCCACAAGACCTCATTTTAAATTAATTTCCATTTAAAGACCCTGTCTTCAAATCCAGTCCCATTCTGAGGTATGGGCAGTTAGGGCTTCGACATGAGAATTTGGAGCAGGTGACGCAATTCAGCCCGTAACAGTACCAATCACAGTCGACTTTAAACGGCAGTAAGTCAGATGAGTGCCCGTTCCCCATCTGGCTGATAGAGACTGCATCTGAGTCAGCCCCGTGTTCTCTGGGTTTAAGTTCAGCTCAGCACTATGAAGAGGCCCCTCCCGTTTCCAAGAGACTGGATCTTACAGGCCAAGATAACCAGGTGATTATCTTGGTATGGTGGGAGGATGGGTCATGTCTCTTTTCTTGCCTGTCTCTGTGTGATTGAACAGAGAAATGTAGCAGAGGAGGTTCAGGCTGACACAGCATTCACTGCTCGGCTTTCAGCTAGAAGAGACATCTCAGGAAGCCTGGGGATCCGGGAGGCTTTGAGCATAGATGGGCCTGAGAATAGGGTGGCGGGGGGCTGAGGTCCAGGTGGAGGTGTGCACCCATGACTCAGGAGTGAAGAGGTCGTGGGGGGTTTGCAGGCTGCTGTGGTGCCTGAGATGTGTGTGTGTCAGTACAGGACAGTGAGTGGGCCAGAGAGTAACAACTGAAGTCATCAAGTACAGCTGGGGCTGGGTTTGGGATGCTACGGGAGTCAGACGGAGGAGCTGGGTTTTCTTGGCTGTTCATTGTACACAAAGTCCAACTATAGAGACAGTTTGAGGAGGAGGGCAGGCACTGGAAGTGAGCAGTGCTGGGAAAGGGCTGGTGAGTTCAGGGTGTAGCTGGCCCCTTCCTCAAGTTGGTGGAGTGCAGTTTCCTGGAAGAGGAATCTTCAGTTCTCACTGTTGCCTTTTTATAAGTGAAAAAGATAGTGTGAATCCTGCAGAACCGCTCCTGGGGTTCCCTGTCTTGGTAAATGTCACCACACACAGATGCCCAAACCAGAAACATGACCACCATCCAGCCTCCTCCCTAAAGTTTATCCCCCTTAGTGAACCCATCACCAAATCCCATCACCAAATTCTCCCCCGAAGATGTCAGAGTCCAGCTCCATTGTACTCCCATGTGCAAGCCACTGTCCTCTTACCCTGGGACCACTGCTGGGGTCTCGTCTTCCTGCCACAACCCAGACCCCTCTCCCTGTAATTCGTCTTGCACTCAGCTATCAGAGACATTTTCCAAAGTTTAAATTGTGTCCTCTTACAGGACGGTCTGGTGGCTCTCTAGTGTTCTCTGGGCTAGGTCCAAACTCTTTGTTGACTTCTAAGCCTCTGCAGGCCCCAGCCCCTCATCTCCCATCATTCCACCACAACCATTCAGTGGGTCACACGGAACAATGCTGGGGTTCTAGGTTCAGCTCTGGGCTCTTCCCACCTCCTCTGCTTGGCTAAGTCTCATTATTCACATCAGATACCACCTTTCATGGGAGTCAGCCTTGATCCCTAGACTGGGATCACATGCGAGGGGCCTTCAAAAAGTTTACGGAAGGTGGATATGATGTAAAAACTATGTATGAATTCAGAATGTGTTTGGCACCAAAAGAAACTTGTGCTAACTTGTTATGATGTGCATGAACAGGATCTAGTTTGAGGCACTAAGAAGAATAAGGCATCGGTCTGAAAGGAGCCTCCACCAGCGCCACGTGAATTCTATTAAAATTGAAGCAAAAACGAAAAAACAAAAAACCATCAAATGTATGGCAATGGTTGGGTGGAAGAATGATTAAATCATTGATTTCTTAATGAAAAGTTTATGGGAACAATACCCCAAAGCAATCAGCGGTTTACAAATGGATAAATTGTTTGAAGAAGGGATGAGATGATACTGAAGACGAAGCCCACAGTGGCAGACGATCCGCATCAGTTTTCAAAGAAAAAACTAATATTTTTTGTGTCCTAATTGAAGATGACTGATGATTAGCAGCAGAAATGATAGCCAACACCATAGATATTGCAAAGGTTCAGCTTATACAATTATCTCAAAAATTAAAGTGGAGCAAATTTCCATTTGATGGGTGCCAAAATTGTTGTGCCCAGATCAGCTGAAAACCTTAAGGGGAGAGCTTTCAATGGAAGTTTTAAACAAGTGGAATCAAGATCCTGAAGTATTTCTTCAAATAATTGTAACAGCAGATGAAACACAGCTTTACTAGCATGATCCTGAAGACAAGTTACAATCGAAGCAGGGTTACCGAGAGGTGAAAGGGGGCCGGTCAAGGGCAAAGGTCATGGCAACAATAGTTTTTGGATGCTGAAGGCATTCTGCTTGTTGACTTTCTGGAGAGTCAAAGAACAATAACATCTGCTTACTATAAGAGTGTTTTGAGAAAGCCAAAGCTTTAGCAGGAAATATGCCTGGGAAAGCTTCACCGGAGGGTCCTTTTTACTGTGACAATGCTCCTGCTCATTCCTCTCACCAAACAGGGAAATCATGTGAGGGTTTCGATGGGAAATCATTAGGCATCTACCTTACAGTCCTAATTTGGCTCCTTCTGTCCTTTTTTTTTTTTTTCGTTTCCTAATTTAAAAAAGTTTGTAAAGGGCACCCATTTTTCTTCAGTTAATCATGTAAAAAGACTGCATTGACATGGTTAAATTCCCAAGACCCTCATTTTTTTAAGGATGGACTTAATGGTTGGTATCATTGCTTACAAAAGTGTGTTCGACTTGATGGAGGTTATGTTGAAAAACAAAGATTACGTTTTGAATGTTTATCTTTTTGTTCCATTTTTTCCAGGAAGTGTTTGAAGTCTCCCTATACATCTCTTTAGCTTGCTGCCGTAACACTTGCCACACAGAGGGTACCTATTTACCTGGTTGCCTCTTCTATAGATTCTAATCTCCTATAGTACAGGGCCAAGTCTACTTTCTTTTCTTGAACTCCAGCATTTAACCTCAGGGTTAACATAGAGAAGGGACTAAATGCATACTTAAGAAATGAGCAAATTGGTCATCCACTCCTGTATGAGACCACAGTCACCCTGTTTCTGCTTTCTTAGGTCCGAACTTTAGGATGCTGCCCTCTCTCTAATAGAACAAATTAAATCTGGGGTCTGCAGTTCTGGTTACTTATTTATTATTATTATTATTTTTGAGAACAAGGCTCACTCTGTTGCCCAGGCTAGAGTGTAGTGGCATGATCTTGGCTTACTGCAACCTCGGTCTCCTGGGTTCAAGTGATTCTCATGTGTCAGCTTCTTGAGTAGCTGGGATTACAGGTGCATACCACCACACCTGGCTAAGTTTTGTGTATTTAGTAGAGAGGAGGCTCTGCCATGTTGCCCAGGCTGGTCTCAAACTCCTGGGCTCAACCTGTCCACCACTCTCAGCTTCCTAAACTGCTGGGATTACAGGTATGAGTCACTAAGCCTGGCCAGTTCTGGCCCAAAGTCTCCACCAATATAGATAATTCCCACAACATAGGTAGGAAGGAAGGAATAAACCCCCCAATTCCTTGCCTGTGTCTGGGGCACCTGGCAGGGTAGAGCACTATGTATGTATGATGTGTGCATGGGGAAGTGCAGGAGCCCAGCACAGGGCTGGACCTTGGCAATTCTCCCGGATGTTCAGAAATAGATACAACATCCGAGTGTCATCAGTCAGAATAGGCCCAGGGGTATGAAACTCTTCTTACTGTGTGTCTTAACCCCAGGCATCTTCTGTTTCCCCTTGTGGTAATAAGAACATCAGGCTGTGGACTGCGTTTGCCTGATTAACACTGTACCTCCGCATCCCAACAGGGCCCTTCGGACCCAGTGGAAAACACGTGACATGACAGAGGACGTAGCTCAATGCCGTTTATAACTTGGCACATGGGAAAGAGTGAAGGGACACCATTCTCTCTCCCCAGGGCTTCAGCCAGCCCCAGTATTCAGAATAAGACACTGGAGGAAGCTCAGAGATGGCCCAGGGATGGCTCACAGTCAGCAGAGGCTGCTGAGAGATCAGTTAAAAGCCATCTCTGTGTGTGTCTAGAGAGCTGCACTCTGAGGTGGCCGGCACAGCAACCAGGAGTCTATATACAGCCGGAGAGGGCAGGTACATTCAGGGGAGAGAGAACACGACAGCAGAGAGCAGATGGCCACCTGGGATTTCCAGTTAAAGAGCGCAGCTTGGCCACATGTTCGTGGAACTCTATCAACGTTAGAGAGAGGGGTTTAGGACCAAAAAGGCGGAACAAAAAGACAGAAAGCTGTGAGGATACAGAAAAGGAGGGTGGAGTCAGTTGCAGCAGCTTTTTGGAAGGTATAAAGCACATGGACAAATAGCAACTGATTTAGCAGATGTGGAAAACTCATTGCTAACCATGAGTGAAAAAAGACAAAAAACAGTCCAATTTAGACCACAGAACCCTTTAAAGGCCCAGGAACGGCAGCACCGTGTGCCTTTAGAAGCAGAGGTCAAAAGAGGGAACATGCCTTGAAAAACTGTTTAAGAAAATGTTAGAGACCCCACCTAGAGCCAGGGCACTGCCTGGGCCCTGTGCTGATAGGAAGCCAGACATTATTTTTCCCTCTGGAAATGGTGAAACTGAAGGTCTCTGGACTGAGTGACACCGGGCACAATGAACCAATTCTCAAATGGCTGTTCTGGAACATTTCCCAATGGTGGTGAGCTGGATCCTGCAGAAGGTGGTGGCCCTGCATTGATGAAGAGGGAGGAGGTTTTATAATGGGGGAAGTGACTCATGACAAAGCACAGATGCCAGAAAAGACCAGTTGTCTGCGGCAGTTGTTAATGAGATGGGCTTGGCTGGTGCTGATGGAGACAGTGAGAGGCGACAGAAATGAGAGGTGAAGGTGACTTGGGGTGTGAGGACAGTGATGATGCCAAACTGGGGGCTCAGATGGGGGAATAAAGAGCTGTGCTGGGTTCTGAAGTAAGAAAGCAGAATGATGGAAGCAGCCCTTGAGGAAGACGTTTCCTGAATGTGTAGGCTGGGGTCTGGAGAAGCTGGTGGCAGGGATCTCAAGGAAAAGCCTTTGACTATAACCAAGGGGAATGGCAGTGAGGGCTGGGACAGGGGCAGGGCGGTGGTGACAGCAAATGCACTGGCAAACCCTTTGCCTGGTCATGACAAACACTTGCCCATTCCTGTAACTCTGCTCATTTGCTCTCCAAGGACACTGCCACTCTCTTCATAAATGAAAATGTTTTTGGCAGGTCAGAACACTAGACTTATGAAAGCAAAGTCTCAGTTCTTTGAATTATTGAAGGAATCCTAGAAAAAAATGAACCTGAATTTAAACAGATAATACACGTGGTCTTCAGAGACTTCTTGATCTGTTTTCAATCTTCAGCCAAACACAGAGCACTGAAAGTGCTGTTCCCTTTCATTCAGAGGGGCAGAGCCTGTCCAGAAAGGCAGGGCATCATCCTCTCAATTATCAGATCTGCAGCCTCCCCCAGGTCCTCTCTCCCCTAACCTGTCCCACCTTTCCTTCAGGCCCGACCGTCTCCTTGACATTAACACTGAGTCCCTCAGCCTGAGGTTTACCAGAGCACCTTTTGGTGAGTAGTAAGTGCATAAGAAATCCAGTTTTGTTTCTCTTCTTTTTTTGAGATGGAGTCTCACTCTGTCTCCCAGGCTGGAGTGCAGTGGCACGATCTTGGCTAATTGCAACCTCTGCTTCTCTGGTTCAAGTGATTCTCCTGCTTCAGCCTCCCAAGGAAGCTGAGATTACAGGCGCCTGCCACAGTGCCCAGATATTTTTTGTATTTTTAGTAGAATTGGGGTTTCAACATATTGCCACGCTGGTCTCGAACTCCTGACCTCAGGTGATCAGCCCATCTTGGTCTCCCAAAGTGCTGAGATTATAGGCATAAGCCACTGCGCTTGGCCCCTGTTGTTGTTTTTAATAATCACAGCTAAATTCCTGCTGGACCAGCCTTTGACTTAGCGGGGAAGTTGGACTCAGGGTGGCCTGCATCACAGAGCTGATTGCATGAGCTCAGTGGGTGGGCAGAGGATGCTATTGACTGATTTTTTTCATCCTTCTTTATTCCAATTCCAAGACAAGTCCAGTCTTGTATCAGAGTTGCTTCTTCTCGCCTAGAGTCTAAAGGATGAAACCAAATAGTCTTCCCTCTGTTAACAATGAAAATCTCACTGGGCCTATTGCTTGGCCTAGGTGTGAATTTGTCAGTTTTCTTCTCCTTTTTCTTTTTTAAATTGTGGTAAAACACATACAACATACAATTTATTATAAAATTCACCTAATCATTTTTAAGGGTACATTTCAAAAAGCTCTAAGTACATTCACATTGTCATGACTTTTAAAGTCTGTGCTCTCACTCACATTCCTCATGAGCCACCTGCTCTCCTCTGGGCTGAAAAACCTTTGTTCTGGTTACAGTCCTGGAGTCAGTAGGGAGACAGACACCAACTTTGTGAAATGCAACCCTCTCCATGGTCTCCTGACATCTGGTAACGAGGCTTCTACTCAAACCTGCCCCTGATGTTCAGCCCTCAGTGAAGGAATTGTTTCCCTCCTGGGCCTCTCACGCTGCCAAACCCCAGCAGCCTCTCTGTGTGGGTTGCTCTGTACGCCCCTGATGTATAGGTTGATGGTCGTTGCCCACTAACCCCTGTACATCCCAGAGGCTCATCAAGTATCCAAACGGCCATGCAGTAGCAGAAGCCCCAGGATCTGCTTGGATCATGATAATTTGAGCTTAGATAAGACAGATCTAAGTTCCAATTAAAATCAATCTAGATTTACAGTCCGGCCAACATGGTGAAACTTCGTCTCTACTAAAAATACAAAATTAACTAAGCATGGTGGTGCGTGCCTGTAATCTCCGCTACTCAGGAGGCTGAGGCAGGAGAATCACTTGAACCCGGGAGGCAGAGGTTGCAGTGAGCGGAGCTCACCCCACTGCACTCCAGCCTGGGCAAAAGGAGTGAAACTCAATCTCAAAAAAAAAAAAAAATTTAGATTTAGGTGGCACAGGGCAAACCAGTTGTTACATTCTCTGTGTGCCGGTTTTCTCATCTGTAAAATGGAGCTTGTACCCTCCAGTTGTGGTGGGGCTAAGATGTAATGTCCAGGAAGCACTCAACATCTTTCATGAAACAAGACTCTGGAAACCATTCTTGTTTGAAGGCAGAAGAGGCTTCTCTGCCTGCACGCCATCAGTTACCTGTACTTTCCCCTTGTATGACAAGGTTTCTGTTGAGTTACCTATAATACATTCCCTCATTGTCATCATCTGTACATTCAACTGAGATTCCACTGTCATCTACTTGCATTTCGAAAACTGGTCTGAATTAAGCCTGACCAAATGATTCAGAGAACTGGCAAATTGGAGACAGTAATTATCCGTCCATCAAATGTTTATCACACTCTATATGTACAGCACCAGAGGCTTTGGGTACTGTTTATGTAACAGTCTACGATTATTTATGCAACAGCTTATGATTATGTAACCACTTACAAGCCTAAGATGGGATCCAGACATGTCCGTGAAAGAGGAATGGGGTAAACCTTGGCAAGAGTATTTTCATGAGAGCCTGAAGGGATCCCGGGAGGGAGCTCATCCTAAGGCACGAGGACCCAGGTGTGCTAAAGCTCTTTCCAATCGTTGCAAGGGAGGGGTAAGTCTGTGTGGGTGTCTTTCAGTTTCATTCACGGTGCAACATGTGAACATGTATCTGGATTCAAGAAGAAAAGAGGATCTGAAAGTAAAAATGAATCCATGCTCTTAAGGATGCTCATCCATCATGGATCAGAATGAGAAGCTTTGCCAAGATCCAGGGAACTGTGGACCACTGAGGTCAATACTGTTCCCTCTGTAGCCATTGGTGGTAGGAACAGGAGACAGTCAAATGAGTTCAACACAGAATCCTGCCCTGCAGGTGACCATCGGTCAGCAGGGGACATAATAAAAGAACACAGGTGGCCATAAGACAGTGGTAGGAAGTGTCATGTGCCAGGAGGAAAGATGAGATAAACTTCTTTGAAAGTTCAGGAGGTGGAAAGAAGGCTTGTGGAGGAGGTGGGGCAGAAAC